GAGCTCACTGGTGAAGCGACTGTCGAGTTCAACGGATCCGACCAGCTCCGTTGGTTCACCCTTTGGCGTTGTGTTTGAAGTTTTCTTCTTGGTCGCTGGAGCGATAGAGTCTAGGCCTTTCAGCGCGGCCTCAAAACATCTTCGGGCGGCCTCGATGTCTCCGTTAAGGGTCACCACGGCCCCCCTTCTTGTGTAGTATTTCATCTTCAGGTGGACGGTGGAGGGTACCGCGGTGAGTTCTGCTATCGTCGTCCTGCCCAGGATGCAGTTATAGAGGGACAGACATTCGATGACTAAGAAACGAATGCTGATTTCCCTAGCTGTTTCTTCTTCTCCGAAGGTAACTTTCAATTCTATGTATCCCCAAGGTCTTGTCGTCGTCCCGTTGAACCCCTGAAGGTCGGAGCCTACGTAGGGGGAAAGGTTGGATTCGTCGAGCTGGAGAGTTGTGAACAGGTGTGAGTACATGATGTCAATCGAGCTTCCGCCGTCGACGAGGAGGCGCCTGGCGTCGAAGTTTGCCATCCTTGCACGTATGAGCAGGGGTATGTTGGAGTTGGGGGATCCCCCGGGGAGTTCCTCGAGGTAAAATGTGATCAGGTTGGATCGGCCTCGGAATTTCTCGAGCGTGCTTATTTTGCCGGAGTTGTTCGCGATGAGTTTGTCGAATTTTCTCTTCACGGATCCTATGGAGAGGCTCCTCGTGGCTCCATCAGAGATGACCATGGCTCTGGGGAAGTACTCCCACCGGCTGGTTGGTCGGATTGGCTTGTCGATTAGGTTGGGTCCTTCGGGGAGACCGAATTCTCTGCCCGCGAACCAATCCTCGGGACGGCTGACACACAGCGTGACCTGGAGCCTGCTGTTGTCCTCGGGAGACGGAAGTTCCTCGACTTTCTTGGCTTCTGGAGCTTCTTGCCTTGGCGGCTCGCCTCCTCGGGTGTATCTCTTCAGGTGACCGTCTTTGATCAAAATTTCGATCGCGTCTTTGAGATGGATGCAGTCTTCTGTCACGTGCCCGTGGCTCCTGTGGAATCGACAGTATTTCGATTTGTCCACGTTGGGTTTGGGGGGTGTTGGTCGCGGAAAACGGACACCTCCCTGCACGAATTCGGTTTTGGCGCATTCGGCCAGTATGCGCTCGCGTGAAGCGACCAAGGCTGTGTACTCTGTGAATCTGCCGGCTAGGCCGCGCGGTTCGCGTTGTTCGCGGGGCTCGCGGGGGAGATCTTCTCGACGACGGTCTCCTCCTCGTCGATGGCTCGAGGCTCCGTCGTCTCGGTGCCTGCGAGGGGCCTCCCTGTCTCAGGTGTCTCGAGCGGAGTTGGCCGCCTGTGTTTCTTCGAATCGGATGTAATGCACGGCTCTATCGAGGAAATCTTGGAGGGATGTTGGCCGGTGTATGCCTACGGCCTCGTAGAACTTGGAGTCGTGGCGCAGACCTTGTTCCATTAAGTAGCGTTTCATCTCGTCTGACGTCGTCACCTGCACTGCTTCCCGAGTGAACCTTTCGATGTACTTTCGGAGAGGTTCGTCGGGGCCCTAGATGATCGCCCTGAGGACTGCTTCCGTCTTCGGGTGGCGTCGGGACGCCGTAAAGTGTTTGGAGAACAGGTCCTTCAAGACCCTCCATGATGTAACTGATTCGGGCTCCAGACTTTTATACCAGGTCATAGCGCCTTTCCACAGAGTCGTCGGGAAGAGTCTGCACTTGATAGCTCCCCGGACGTTTCGGTAGTCGAGCATGGCCTCGATGTCTTCCAGATGATCGTCCGGGTCGGAGGTGCCGTCGTATGTCGACAGCGTCAGTGGTTTCTCGATCCCTTGGGGTATGGGGGCAGCCATGATTTCTCGGGACAGCGGGGTGCGATAATCGTCCTCGTCGTTGTGCGCCGGGGATCGATGGGGAGATGAGCCGTTCAAGGTAGGCCCCTGGTTTCGGGTTCTCGACCTCCTGCCTGAGTTCTCGCCTCGGGGGTCTTCGGTCGGGATCGCCGCGGTGTTTTGGTTCCTCCCGCGAACTTGTCTTGCTGGGGACCTGGTGCGTTCTCGCGCTACCTGCGCACGATGTTTCTCCAGTCGTGGTCGGCGATTTCTGGGTCGAGGTGAGGGACTCCTCGAGCCTCCGTTCTGGTCGTCCCGCAGGGGGTACCTCGGAGGGTCGATACGTTCCAATGCTCCAATTCTCGCGTTTTGCTGGGCCAGCAGCTAGTTCGTCTGGTTGATGGCCGCGAAGAGGGCGGCCACCGTCGGGTCCGCTCCCGCCGGGATGGGGACGGGTTGGAAAGCCGGCGGACCTGGGGGCCGGTGATCGGCCTGAAGGGGCCGTTCTGCGGATGATGGCGAGGCAGTTTGGCCGTCCCTCTCATCGGTTTCCGCCGGACGCGTCGTTTCCATCTGCTTGCTTCCGTTGGTGCCGACGTTGAGCGCGAGGTCGTGCGGAGTGCCGTCGCGGTGTGGGCTAGCCATGATCGTGGTGTATTGGTGAAACTTTGGTTTTCTGCTCGGAGTAACGGGGAAGTTTCTGTTCCCTCAGACGACGCCACTGATCTGACCTGATCAGAAGGGGATCACGGGCCGACTACACTCTATTAGACGGCTGCGTACTCACCGGTGCTGAGGAAGAAAAGGGGGTGTACCTGCAAAATACTCTGATGCCAAAGTAAGGAGTTGGGCAGAGTGAGAGCGAAGTACAGAGAAAGGGTAAGAAGTGTGTTACCTGGCCCTCTTGGGGAAGAGGGTATTTATAGAGAGACCCCAGCGCTGGGCCAACGGTCATTTGAGGTGAGCTGGATGACCAGGCCCAACCCTAATGACTTCTAGGGCTTACGTGGCGTAGTGAAGACCAGAACGTGGTCTTCGCCCTAGTCCAACTGCTCCTTGCTCTTCGGAAAGTGGATTTGACCTGCTCTTTCGGAGGTGGGCAGTTGGTTGATGACGTGTCCCCGCGGAGGGGAGTACGTGGAGAACGTGCGCCAGGCACGTTGTTCTCCCCGCGGAGGGGAGCTCGGGAGGTTCCCCGGAAGCAGGTTGTTCTCCCCGCGGAGGGGAGCTCGGGAGGTTCTCGAGAAGCAGGTTGTTCTCCCCGCGAAGGGGAGGAACCAAGGCCTCGTTTCGATGCGCTGGGGTGCGTCCTGTTCGGCTGATAAGAGGGGACGGCGAGAGGCTGTTGGATGCGTCGCCCGTGCCCGGTGGTGTGTTCCGCCCGTCCAGCGGGGCGCGTGTGCCCGGCATGGCCAATTCGCTTATTGGGCCGTGCGAGGTATTGGGCTGGACCGAGGTCGGGCCCAGGCCAGAACAGTTTGTATAGTTGTAAAAAACACACGAAATTAGTTTTTTGTGATTGAGAAATGTATGCATGGACGGATCCACCTATTATAAAATGAGGACAGCTGACCCCACATTCTTAAATTCGGTTTAAACATTAATAAAAAATATTATGATATTTAACCCCACTAGCAATATACTGATGCCCCACATTATATGGTGACATTAATAAAACACAAAGTTTCCGGATACTTTATCTATTTAAAATTATATTTATTATAAAATTTATGTATTTAAAAAAAAATAGTGAAGTAAAAAATAATAATTTGCTAATTTGTGTAGTAAATTTACGTCTAAGAGATTTAGTATGTTGCATTAAATTCTTATTAAATCAAGTATTAATGCATAATCTTATTAAATAATTAAAAAATAAAACAAATTTTAATTATTTTATATATGATATAAGTAATTTTAAATTGATATAAATGATTTAAAAAAATATGAAAAATATCATAAATTATTTTCATTAATTTTATTTTGCTCAAACAGTCTTACAAAATTAATTATGTTATATGACAAACTCAAATACGTTAATTCAAACAAATCCTAAATGAAAAAATTGATTAATTTAAGTATTTTTTATTTATTAGAGTTATATATTTGATGGTGTTAATTTTTTTTCTAACACTTTCAAAATATAAAAACACTTAAAAATAATTATAATTTTTAAGAATGAAGTTGTCTTCGTATTTTTCAATATAGAATGATATATTTAAATTTTAAAATCTTCATTACATCAACGAAAAAACTTATTATTTTATTGTTTATCATTTATATATTTTTTAAATAAATATTAATATTAATTAACTTAGACTCTATATTTGTTGAAATTTTTAGATCTGTTTCTGAATATATGTTAAGTTTTGAAATTAACATATTAAAATTTTTATAATTTTTTTTTAAAAATAGTCAATTTAATAATTTTTTTTGAACCAGACGATTTCTTAAAACCGACTCCGATTCTTTAGTTCGAATAGTTTTGAACAGTTCAATCTTATTTTTTTAATTTAACTCTGATTTTGACCCACCAGCAGTTTTGAAAAATTAACCCAACCGAATTCATCTTCAATTTTCAGTCGAACCGATTGAATCGACCGATTCGATCCGATTTTTACAACATTACTATCAACTTAAAACAAATATATACATCACCTTAAAGCAAATTAGTATTAACTTAAAAAAAAATGACATGAGTTTGACATAAATTAGGCCCTTAAGTACATGTTTCAATATCACACGTTTCACTCTAAGACCATTCAAACATACCCTAACAAAAAGTTGGGCAACCTATATGTATCAAATTCATCAAAATCCAATTGTTAAAGAAGATTCAAAGTAAAAGTAAGAAAAGCAACAAGGATAAAGAAAAGATGCAACTTTACACACGAGTGGGGTGGGTTTGATACTTTGAACGGTAAAATACAAACAAGTTCGGGTTGGGTTTTTTCCTTTCTCGGTGCCTTCCAGTCTCTAGCATATTCTTTCTCCACACGTTTCCTTTTCTACTCTTCATAGCATCTTTCACAAGATTCTCTTTTCCTTTTTTCATTTTTCAATTTTCAATTCAATTCACTGTTTATCTTTGATCCTTCTATAAACTCTAGATCCCATGAATCACTCATCACAATAACATTTCATCTTTCACTCTTTTCCCCCACTTTCGCGCCAAAATCATGAAACTTGAAAACTCCAACTCCAATTCCAACGGCCAGATCTCCTTCCCCGCCGCCGTCGATGTTATTCCACCGCATAACTCCGACGACGCCGATGAAGCATTCGTTCCGCCGCTGAATTTCGCGATGGTTGATAATGGTATTTTCAGGTCTGGATTTCCCGATTCTGCGAATTTCGGATTCATGAAATCTCTTCGTCTCCGTTCCGTAATGTGAGAGACTTCGATTTTTCCCTTTCTGTATTGTATTGTTTGTTTTGTGGAAGATTTGTATTGATGTTCGTTTTGGTGCAGATGTTTGTGCCCTGAACCCTATCCTGAAACCTCTGCGGAGTTTTTGAAGGCTAATGGAATTAGGCTTTATCAATTTGGTATTGATGGATGTAAGGTTTGTATCACAATTTCATGTTGTATTGTTATTAACGAGTTACTTGATTCCAACTTGTTGAATACTTGAAAATTGATACCTATTGTGAATCCAAACATGAGTGTGTTTGTTCTTACAATGCTTGTGTATGAGTGAACTGAGCTCTTATTGGATAAACAACTCTATCACTAGCTCATAATAAATGATAAAATAGAGTCAAGTTGTTTTCATAAAGCTATAATTTGGTTTCATAAGTTATTTTGAAGAGCTTATATGTAAATAAACCGAAGTTTTCATAAGATTTTTTAAGCAATTTTACAAGTTCAGGTCATTAGATAAGTTCAAATAAGTCAATTCAATAAAGCTCTAGTTTCCTTTTGAAAAGTAACTTTTAAATAGGGCCTCTATTTGTTTTGTCATGGTCATTAGATAAGCTCATAAAATGTTTGTCCTAATTAAAATGTAGTTAAATAGAGTCTCTATTTGTTTTGTCATGGTCAAACTATGACTAATCTACACAAGACCGACCAAAACATGAGTAGGCTCTGAAAATAGTGACATTAAATTCACAATCCACTTTTATCAATATATGTGAAAAAGAGGTGTTTATAAGAAATGATAGAGTGAGTAATAACTCTCCCTTGAGCTGAAGAGAATATAAGAAGTTAGTAAAGTTTACTTTGGTTATTTTTGGGTTTATAGGGAAAGTTTATTTAGGCTATTTCAAATATCCTTTGGAAAAACATCTGGTTTTAGTTTTAGTTATGTGATCTATACTATTGTGTGTTCTCTATCCTCTTTCATTGGGGTATTTCAGAATATGTATACATATTGTAGTCTTGCTTAATTTAAGATGGTCATGACAGACTAAAAGTCCTCTTTACCTCCACATATTAACAGTAACATTCATACTATCTCTTGTACTAAACGTCTAAACCCAAATACCGAAAGATTTGAAGAACAGGCCAGGGATGGCTGGACCTATATATAGCCTTAAGTTGTATGGTTTAAATGAATATGATGTTTATGTCTAGAGATCGTTTCACCTTTGAGGAATGTTCCTTAAAAGCTGTCTACCTTAGCTTATACAATTACAAAATGTAATCTGATAAGATTCATACTCCATGCTATTGACAGCAGGTGAGTAACCTGTCTTTTTTAAGTGCTAGTGTTTGAAGGTGTCTCTTATGCTGAATTTGCTCTTAACTTTTTGCAATCATCAGTGATTTTTTCTACGGGCTTTTAGTTCTTATGTCCTGGGAATCTCCCTCGACAAGTTAGCGACCCCCTCCCCCCAAAATTGCCCTCTTCTGCCTGGGTTGCCAGGCAAGGGAGGAGAAGCAAAAGACAGAATATGATATTTTAACTGATATCTGAAAAAACATTGTTTTGCACACTGATTACACATAATGTGGGCAGGAACCTTTTGTCAACATCCCAAATGATAAGATTCGCGAAGCTTTGAAAGTAGTGCTCGGTATTACAAAATCTTGAACTTCACTATCTTAATAGTACAATTTGTTCATGATATTCTAACCAAATTGTTTTTTTTTTCTTCCTTTCTCTAGATGTTAGGAACCATCCCGTACTAATTCATTGCAAACGAGGGAAGGTGTGCACTTTGTTCTTTGAATCTTTATTTTTTTTCAACACTTTGAAATTTGAATCGTTAATCTCTAATAGTTAGGTGATTTTACAATGAACAGCACCGCACTGGTTGTCTTGTGGGATGCATAAGAAGATTGCAGAGGTGGTGTCTATCATCAATTTTCGATGAATATCAAAGATTTGCAGCTGCTAAAGCTAGAGTCTCAGACCAGAGGTTCATTGAATTGTTTGATATTTCCAGTTTGAAGCACAACCCGCTGTCATTTTCATGCTCAAAGAAATAGAAATTGAAATAGTGGGTGCAATTTAGAAAGTTGGTGCTTCCTCCCATGGAATGTTTCCATGATGAAGTGAAGTATAATGCCTAGTTTATATCTTTTTTCCAATGAAAATTAGTGCAGGATGAGTAAGATTTTAAATAGATGTTGTACTTCATTTCTTATTATTTCCTTTCCTGCTTAAATGTTGGATGCCAAACATACCAATATACTCAAAGATGCAGATTGAATAATGGTAACTGCTTTGTTTTTTTGTATCTATTGAAAGATAATAAAAAGATCAGGAGCGCTACTTCTGCGACTATTTCATATGCTGTTTCTATGTGGCCGTATCTGAGATGAAATTTGCAAGAGGCACGCAATGTTTACACCGTTTTATTTTATTACACCATATCCACTTACACCGTATACATACTCGTGTTTTTGTGCTGCATGAAAACTAAAGTAAAAAAATAAATTATTAAAAAAATGATTAGAGTACTTTTATAGTATAACTTATGGTGTAAGTGTACAAATCAGTGTTAAATGAGCATTTCTCAATTTGCAATTAGTGTGTGATTCTCGAAAAGTAAACAAATTAATCTTGATGTTATTTTCTTCAGAAAGCCAATAACTTTAGAAGCTATTATTGATTTCTTTGGACAACATAGTAGGATCAGAATACCTACCAGGTTTATCTTTGTTAGAAAGAAAGATGTTGACTTGAAAATCGACATATGATTACAGAAATCTCTATTGAGTTTGCCTTTGGGATCTCATTTGACTTCCCTCCCTTTAGTGTCATTATCCAAATATGGGTATTGTATTTCTTCACTATATGTGTATTATCATTAGTACAATAGGTACAAATTTGATGCCCTTTAATGTCATTATCCAATTGTGGGTATTGTATTTCTTCACTATAGTATTATCATTAGTACAACAGGTGAAAAATTTGTTGATCTCTAGTTTTGAGGAATTTTTAATGAATTATAGCGGTAAAATTAAATTGACAATTTTACAAATAGTTTGTGTGCGATTAAAATATCGAACATTTGGTGTGCACAACACCCCAAGTTCAATTTTCTATGAAATGATAGTGCAGAATTTTTTGCAATTGCAATCAAGTGATTGCAATGAGTTTTCAAAACGGTTTTTCAGCATTACACTACAATAGAAAATTATCGAACAATTGATATCACACAAATGTTAACAACACAAAGTAAAGAGATAACGACGCCCGATTTGTTTAGGCAGTTCTCCTTTTCATCCTCGCTTTGGGTACGTCTGCCCCAAATTCTAAAACTAGAATTGAAATATGTATAACATCAAGTTGCAAAGTTTTGTGCAAGAGAAGTTATAGCCACCACACACTCAAACCTGATTGTTGATGTTGATTTTATCCACTTATCTCCCCCTTGATTCTAGCCAAATCAAGAACATCAAACTCTTCGATCAAACCTCTGGTTACCGCTACTCACTTAAATTTTCAAGTCTTTCACTCGATTGATTTTGATCGCAAGACGTTTGACCCCAAATCTTTCGACACAATCCTTTTGTTACCATTACTTGCTTGACCGAACCCACTGTTCCTCAAGCCTTTCACTCGGCTGAATCTGTGACGCAAAGATTTGTGCCCCAAATCCTCAAGATCTTAGAGGACAAACCCCTAAAGGTTTTATTCAAGAAAAACCCACTGAATTCTCAATCCAAACCACAATATACAAATTCTAAGTTTGGACGTTATCACCCCGACAATGCAAAGATCAACAAAAATGACTATGTGTAGTTGAAGAATGCATGTGTGAGAATGAAGATGATGAGCAAATTCAATGTATATTTTCACTTTCTTGTTGGTTTATGTACAAAAGATGATGCATATATATATATATATATATATATATATATATATATATATATATATATATATATATATATATATATATATATATATATATATATATATATATATATATATATATATATATATATATATATATATATATATATATATATATATATATATATATATATGACCAAGACCATATAACAAAATTAACAGCTTTTTTTGAAACACAAAAAAGCAGAAAAATATGCTTAAATGAGTGAGAGGTCAACCTTAACATTCTATGAGTCGACCTGAACACTCAAGAAAGCAAATCTGCGTAGAAAAAAAACCCTGTGCCCGACGCAAGGACACTCGAGAGCAGAAAATTATTTATCCTTCAGTATGCGTTGACCTCCACACATATGTGAGTCCATGCAAGGGTTCTAGAAAGCCACAAACACATTTTTATAAATTTTTGAGTCTACCTAAGCCTTGTATGGGTCGACCTAATGTATCCAAAAATGATTCAATGCATAATTTTCACATAGGGGATGATCCTATATGCATAGATTCATGTTTGTGGATTATTTTATGCATATTAAAAGGATGAATGCAAACTAAGACGCGATGATACCGGCCAAAGTACACAAGTACGAAATCTTACTAGTTTTGACATCATTAAAATAAATTATTAAGGAACATTTCTCTCACATAGTCTTCCTTTTTTATGATGGCAAAACCTTTGTTAAACCTTTCATACATTGAGTGCTTTGTGAAGAGCACTCTCCCCCTGACTGTATGCATTTCTCTTTGTAAAATTATGAGCTTTCTTTCTTTGTGAAGCAATTGCTTTTGCATTCTCCCCCTTTGACAAAATCAAAAAGAGTGAAGAAAAAAGTCATTCGTAATCAAATCATATTCATATGTACGCAACCATACACTTTGCAACAGATAAAACATAAAAAAAACATTCACATATAATGTTTTTAATGCAAGAGATATAAAATTAAATAACATACGAACCATAGAGAAGCAAACTTAATGCATTACACATCAGAAAAAGTTCATTACATGTTTCAAGTCAAACAAAATAGCAAAACAAATAACATAATGAAACACATAATAATATGCTAAATGACATGAACAACACCAACACAACTCGACAATCTAAGGTCTTCTCCCCCTATGTGGGTGACCTCTCCCCCTAAAGGAATAATCCTGATTTGGCGCTCCTTGGGCATCTAGTCATTCAGTAAAGCTAAGAACATTGTTATTGACCGTGTTGAAGCTAACAGAAAGAGCTCGATGTTGATTTGCCACTGTTTTAACCATGGCATCAAACCTGCTCAAAACCCTGGAGGCAAACAAATCAAAATTATTACTTTGTGCTTGAATCTGACCCTGCATAGCTATAAAACTTTATTCTTGGAGAGATGCAAAATTCTTTTGTCGAAGCTGCATATTTCGTAACATTTCAAGGAATTCAAAATTAGCAGGTTGATATTGAGGTGGAGACGGAGGAATATAAGAGGTGCCTTGGTTAGTCCAACCAGTGTGTTTCCATTCTCCCCATCCTTGGTTAGCATAAGGATCTAGGTGAATCACCTAACCAACCGCTAGCATCATGACCATCAAAAGAAGGGTCAGTTTCCATATAATGCGCTTCCTCATCTTCCTCTTGATCTTCCTCTTCATCCTCATCTTGATCCTGAATCCTTGCACCCGAGCATTTAGTCTTGACCACATACCTTTTCTCTTGAGGATCCCAAATGTAACCCGTTAGAGTCATGGTCTTATGACTAAATTCTTGGTCATTAGAAATAGAGATGTATGGAATATTTTTAACAACAACCCCATCGCAATCCAATACGCTCTGGATAAATGAACCATAGCATAAGGATGTTCCTCTACCTGATTCCTTCACAGCAAAAATTCGACTAGCAATGTAGTATGGCCAGTTAACCTTTATTTTATTCTTGAGCACATAGACCAAGTGCACTTCCGCTTGGTCAACTCTAAAATATCCTCCCTTCTTTGGCCTGATAATATGAGACACAATCCACTGTAGGATTATATCTTGTAGCTTCAACCGACCGGTAGTGACAGGTTTTAGAATAGATCACTAACAACAAATTCCTCTGGATATGGGTCTTTCAACATAGAATTCATATTAGATTTAAATTCATAATCTGGAGCCAAGTCCTGATCGGTTATTTTGAGACCAGGAGACAGACGCGAGCACATATCAAACAGGTCTCTCCAATCAGTACTATCAACCTTTAGAATTTTGGCCCTTATCTTGTAACCAAAGTGATAATCAGTGAATTTTCCTTTCAAACTAGTGTAAAACAGCCTAACCAAGTTCTCATTATAATTGGTACTACATTCTAAGAAATCATTTGACTTTTGATGATTTAACATGTCAATAATTTCCATAATGTGCATTCTTTCAACAACTTTTGGATAATAAACAAACTGCTTAATAATTGACATTTTCTTAAAATCCTTTTCATAAACCTCATCTAGTTCATCAGAAAGAAGGGACGTAGCGTTTACCGATATTTAAGACGGAGTTTGAGACAAAGGCTGTGAAGTAGATGCTCGAGAAGTAGAACCTCTGGTTGATCTCTTACCAGTTACCCTTGAAGAAGCCATGGAAACACCTTTGTGGAAGAAGATGAACAGTACCCGCAGTTGAAATAGGTGGAGAAATACCAAATTGTTCACTAATTTGAACTTGAAATCCTTAATTTGAGAGGGTTATTTAAATGGGTTTTAGTGTTTGTAGAAGATTTAGAGAGTTGTTGGTGTAGAGAGATTGATGCAATGAATGAAAAAGAAAATAAAAGGATGAAATGAAAAATCATATTGAATATCATATAATTTCCAATGCAGTCACGCTTCATTTTTCAAAAACGTTTTGACTCACGAAGTGATGCGTCGACCTCAAGCTTAGGATGCGTCGACACATGCATGTTAAAATTCCAAATATCAGAAACGTTCAGTATGAGCCGATGCATGAGGATTCCTCAGGTCGACGCATGACTGGCAGAATCATTTATGTTTGCATTGGGAAGAATATTAGTCGACCTATACCCTGTTTAGGTTGACGCAAGCAATAAAAAACATGATATGAATGTAACACACAAGCATAAATAGCAAGCTCACACATTTTCAAACATCAAAATGGACTAGAAAG